ATTTTTGGTAGTAGAACTCCTTAATATCCATCATTAGTATAAATTTCATTGATAAACGTTGCTTCTTTGCCGAGATAAGGGGCACAGAAGACGAAAAAATGAAATTCCGTAACATTTGGCCAAGCCGCTATGGCTTTCTGCTAAATTGCCGACATGAGATTAATATTATTAACTTACTCGTAAGCTCACTTGCAGACGACAGAGAAATGAGTCTCTAAGTTTTAAGGGAGTTTTCTGGAGTCTAGAGAATAAAATAGATTTCTGCTGGAAACTGACGTGGACTTGTTATGATACCATACGATTCTATGATCAAACTTCGTCTTGTGGTAAACATTTTAGCCTATTCGCACTTGATTTGACCGAGTTCTGAATTTTTCAAGTAAAGAATGTCGAAATAAGAAGGGTGACCAGCGTTTTGTATATAACTCAGTCAAATCTTGTCCGTTCCGCTCGAGCAAAATTTCATTAGAAAGTCGGATAAAACCTGAAGAACTCTTGTATCTTTAAATTTTTTGCAGCTGAATTTTCATATTACAAAACGTTCCGGCTTTTCCTCCGCATGTTTCCAACTGATCTGTAGTTTCCAGACACATGGAAAGACCACCATGAATTCTCACTGCCTGCATTTGGTGGCGAATTGCATTTTCTGCAAAATTGGTCAAAAAATTTCTGGATCAAAGAAGGATACGATCACGGTCAAATATCGGCCTGATGCTAAGTTCCGAATTTTCCAATAATTTTATGTTTTTTCTGGCTAAACCTCATCTAAGTACACACAAAAGGTGTTCATCGCAATAGTGCATCGGGTAATGTGTCTTTGTCTTGGCAATGATCTGGAGAACTTCGTTTTTTGCAACTTTTTCAAGTTTTTAATTGGAATTTCTAGTATTTTTCACCGATACGATTTTATTCAGCTGTTATCCGACTTTTCCAAGAAATCTTTCTCGAACAGAACTAATAGTTCGGTTCTTGAACTCCTGGAATCCTCGAGTGGCGCAAAAAATTGAAAAGAGTTTGAAAATTAGTAGCAGCCGACCATCTGATCTACCAAAATTTGTAAACGTTTTTTCATAACTCAAGTTTGTTGCATAGAATTGAATGACATCATAAAAAATATAGGTCTGTTTTGACTATTTGCCATCTCTCCAGAAAAATGCTTGCTCTCTTACTGAGATATCTTACGTTAAGTGCAACGAAAAAGCGGAAAAATTCTATCCGAACGAAAACTTCATTTGTCAACATTGGTTTCCATACTTCCTTTTTTTATATCTCTAGTTTGTGTGTGATTTCGTCTGTTACTCCACCGACAGCAACGACGATGGCATTAACAGCAACAACAACATAATGTACTATTATTTGAGTTAAATAAGACGCCGTGACGGACGGAAAAAGGTAGACCGTCACGTGTCCAGGCCGTACTCTGTTTTTTTGTATTCGTTGCTTCCTATGAATGCTTAGCGTTAATTTGCTTTTGAAAAGAATATAATTCCAAATGAATTTCAGAAAATAGTTCCTACTGACTTTTGAGAAAATGCCTGTTATGCCTTATATCAGGCCATATGGTTTGCAAAATTTTCGGACCAAAATCTAAGGACTTGGTTTTCCAGCGGTCAGGTTTCCCAGAAGCTCTATTATCAACTTTTCTCATGAAAGGGTGATATGCATCTCTGACAGAAAAATCTTCGGGCTATTCAAAACATTATTCAGATTGGTTTCAGCTTTTACTAAAAGGTCAAAAACAAGGGAGTTCTTGTGATTATGACACACTGTACTGCTGAGATAACATCCAAAAGCTTCTTTTCCATATCTTTAATGACTGGCCCCACCTTTCTGGATATTGTGACCAGCTTACTTTGTAGAGAATTTCAAGGACTATCCAATGGTATGTTTTTGAACAATACAAACTTTTTCGTTATGGCAGAAAAACGACTAACAGAGTGTTCAAAGCACTAAGATAGGTGAAAAACATTAGATTGGACGTTCATAATAATTACCACATCGATCAAAGTGTTGCATTAGCTGGACGCGAGAAAACAAATTCGAAGAGAAATGGAGTATACTACCAATTCAAACTGCAGCAGAAATTTTCTTGTTCAAAAAGAGGGAAAGAGAATCTCTGGCAAAGAGGAAACATACCGAAACACAATATACCCATGACCCTTGAAAAAACCACCTAATACTATAACTAGAAGCTCAATTGTGATAATTTTATCGTGGTTTTTAAAAACCACGATAATTTTTCTCGGAAATTATCGAGATGAATCAGTTATCTTCTGTAATCTTACTAGTTATTGCTATAGCAATAAATGAAAGAACCTATATGTTCTTTCATATCGAGACAAAATACGGGAAAATTAATCTCCTCATTGATCGGGATAAAAATTTAATCGCGATACTTTTAGCTTCTTGTCGACATGACCCTTTTATCACGATAATACTCGATAAAAATCTATTGGAGTTTATCGCGATACTTTTGCTTTTAAAGATAAAGATCACACATACAACGATAGTACTTTTATCAGGATAAAGTCCGATAAATATTAATCGCGGTTTATTAACATACTGGTATTTACAACGCTAAATGACTTGTATACCGCGATAGTTTTGCCTGCTGCATTTTATCGAGAGACTGCGATAAACTGCACTCACTTTTCTATCGCGACAGAGTTGCTCATTATCGCGATATTTCAGCACATTTAGCATAATATCTCGATATATCGCAAGTTTTCAACAAAAATTACCCTCATGGGAAGTACTAGCACTATTTTCGCCAGTATTTCAGTACTAAGTCAGTAATTTTCGATCATGCAGAAAATCTGAGCTAAGTATCTAGCAGGTCTTCTACATGGATGTTTATTGAACCAGCAAGCTGATTAAACCGCTACTGTGTGCAGTACTGGCTCAGTGTTTTCGCTGAAAGCACTGGCGTGCAAGATTGTGGCAAGTATTATACCGTATTCAAGCCCAGTAGTTCAGTACTGAAAAATCAGTACGTGCACTAGGGAGCACATGAATCATGCGGAAGCGAGCAGCTTTGACCAGGTACTAGTGCAGTAGTAATCGTTCTATATATCATGCAGGAGTAAGAACAGCTTCAGAAGGCTGCTTGTAATATAGATAGTTTCTGGAATTGCACACCGGACCTTTCTGAATGGTACCTATCGCACAGGAACCTTAATGCACGGGCACGCAGTACAGCGTAACGCGAGATTTTTGTTACGAGACCGTACAGCGCAGTGTGGAAATTCTCTTGATAACCGCGTATTGTACAGCGCAGAAAATCTACGATGTTAACTTTGCTATGGAAATCTCTGTTTTCAAGAAATCACATTGAAAAATTACAAATGTAGCACAATATGCTTACGAGAGAACTATCGCAACTGATTCTTTTATTTCGACTCTGTCGTCTGGCCATAAGTAGACCTCGATGAGACTGAAAAAAGCCTAAAAGACATTCGTGTTCATGACTATTGGTTCTGAGGTATCATTGTTTCTTTGTGAAAAGAAATGATTTCTTCCCTTCTTGAAATTTTTCCTCCGTCGTCCTAACAATTTAGGCGATCAAGCCATTTTGTCAAAGTTCTCCAAATCATGATTTCTATTCTTCTCAAGTTTCAGATTTTCGCTGCTATGGATTGTAAGATATCGAATGTTTAACCACTGGAGAACGAAGTCTCCCCCTGTGCTTTATGTACAAATACAATTCAGACAACATTTCGAACCGCCTATGAGGCGAAAAATAAGAATATCTTTAACGATAGCGGCGGCGTTCATAGAAGTGCTGGAAATAAAACCTCCTGACACCACCAATACCTGCTAAAATTAGGAGTTGAACAATTCGTCTCTCACACAAAGACGAGTCGAAAGAGAAGCAAGACTCGGAAACATTTCGAAAATGTCCAGAATGATTCTCTACGGCTTGGCCAGCTAACGGTACACCAGAGTGCGGAAGTATGAAGCGTTAAATGAAGTGGTAAAACTAATCTTATGTGAAAGAGCACACTTTAAGGTGTAGGAAAATAATTTTCGTTTGTTTGTACCAGTACCTGAACACATGGAAAATATTCGGTGAACATAGCAAAAGCCACGCCCCAAGAACATGCAGATGCTACTGGCATGCGTTTTGACTTGATGATAAAATAATGAAACACTTCGGCTGCTCCGATTGTCCAACGACGAGCTTGTCTTGCCCATTCGATGATTTCCGTTTCAATTGTTTCTCCAGATATTGGTCCACTCAATACTGGCATGGGTATCATCGATATTCGTAATCGTTGTTGTGTCACTCCCATCCATCGAATAAGACAAATAATATCGTCCATCTGATAGCCAGGATGAATGAAGTTTCCTTGTTTTGCTAGACTTAATGAGAACGAGAAAATACTCATTGTGTTGATATTGAATGGGATCAATGCACCATCAAAAAGCTTCGTAACAATCCCGTTACACGTGTGACAAATGATAAACTATCCAATTTCCAGTTGTAAAACAAGGATGACTGGTAGATGGTTGTCAGTGAGGGTCTATTCTCTTGTAAATATTTGCAAGTTAATGCAGCAATATATTGTGGTGGAAATTTGGAATCAGCATCACAAGTTATCACCAGAATATTGTCTGTTTCATCATCAGCAATGGACATTTGTCTGACGACCATACGAAGATCATAATCTGCATTTGAACATTTTCCTGGTATTTCATTGGGCAAATCAAATGGATGAATGGTGAATATAATCCGTCCGAATCATCATCAATATGTAGTTTTTAATTTTTTCCAAACGTCTTTTCCAAGTACAAAAATCGAGAAAACTCGAAAAAGTTAGACTTTTCCACTTGGGTTTTTAGTTGGAACGTTCAAACTATTTTTTCTTGATCAGCGTTAAAAGCTGAATTAAAAGATGATATTAAATCGGAGATGCGTGAAACAGAGGAAAGCAATCGATTGTGATAGCCAACTTCGCTCAAGATGATTTTTCATCATGAGTGTAAACAGCTTTGGTAAGAGACTTTAGCTGAAACGTGAACTCGCACACTGTTTTGAAAACTGTCCGTACATCACGTGCCCTAGATCCGCTACTTTCGCTATCTACGCTCAAACGATCTTACCTAGATTCGGCGGCAACTGCATGAAACAAAACTTTGAATCTGTATATAGTTTAGCGAATAGTAATTCGTAGTAGAAGTAATATTTATAAGTACACATAGAATTATTTGTGAAATAATTATAACCATGGTTTATATAATCGATGCGTAATAGATATGTACATCTGCATGACTGGTGGGATATATTGGTGTAAGTGAAACGGCTGACGGCTGTGAGATTCATCGATGGTGTATACTGATCGAACTAGTAGGAGGAACCTAGAACTGGAAACTAGAAGGAGGATATGTAGTATTCATCATACTAGGTATCAACAAAACCTCACTCAACCGTCACAGAATATTCTAAAAAGAAAAGTTATGATGCTCTTGCCATATCTGATATGTCTTTAGTTTGTATAGAGAAGGGCGGCTTCAAGTACAATAAAACTTGTTAACTTTATTAAGAACGAACGTAACGAATTATTTTGATTAAACGCATTAGCTAATGCTTCTAATATTTGAAAGAAAAACGATAAGTATCGTTCGAAATGGCGAATAACATTTTTCGTGTTAAATGAGTCAAATAGTCATAACAGATACAAAAAAAAAGAATCAAAGCACACATATACAAACACTTTTAGTC